AAAAAGAAAAGTACTCCTCGAAACATTGAGTGATAATACATTTCAATGAAATTTCAATATAAATTACGTTTTTTATTACTTCTTTGGTTTTTAATATGAATAATACATGACTGTCTAAAATAAAACTGGACAAAAACTCTATTAAAATCCAGACAGTCTGAAGATAGTTGATCCAACAAAAAATTCATTGTTTTTGTAAATTGTACAACCAAGTTGCAATTTCTTCCTCCTTGTAGAATGTTATATTCATTTTGTAGTAAAATACATCTTATGTAAGACAAAAAGTTTAATGGAACAAGGGCTGCAGAAAAAATGTAGTAGCCAACCCCCCCCACCACCACCACCACCACCACCACCATCCTCATCTCTGTACCTCTTGTTTTAGACTGACCATGCCTATGAATGTATCTACTTACTAATGACTTCTCTAGGACAAAATATGGATCTCACCAAACATTTTTGTAGAGATTTACCCATTCATCCACTGTTTGAATATTTACTTTTGTATTGTACCTCTCAGTTTTTCATGAGTTTAAAAGACACAGATTGTCTGCTATCAAGATCCGTTTCTATCATATTGATATATTTACCTAAGGATAGAGCACAGGCTTTATGAATTACTGATTTCCTTTTTCTTATATAATACCTACTTTTTTAATATTTTTTTTAGAATCTTGCATATACTTTCCATTGATTGACTACAATAGCTCTATATTTCGCTCCACTGCAAATTTTAATATCTTCTTTCTTCTTACAATTTAGATCCTTTTTTTAAATTCGCAAGAAGCATTAATGAGAGCATATGTCTTTCTTAATCTTTGCCCATTCATATTGTTTGTTCACTGATTGCTTTGTTAATTGGAAGTTGTTAAAGAACCGTTTAAAAAAAAAAAATAGTGTATATGCTTATCATTAAAAAACATATTTTAACAACAAAATTTAAAGAATTAGGTAGTTAATATTTGTACTGGAAAATTTTAAAAGACTAAATATGCCTATAACAATTAATGACATTCAGCTTCTGGGTCAATGATCTCCATCTCGATCAGAATTTCATCCAGTTTCTGTTATCCAGTGAGCAAATGATGAAATGACCCCTTGTTTTGTTTCTGGACATTAATGTAACTTCATTATGTACATATTTTGTTGATATCTTTTTTGCTTGTTGTGTTATGACTAGAGTTGTGGCTGTGAGTTGCTATTTTGTTAGCAATCCTATAAAATGAAATTCTTAGTTTGTTTGTGGCAGCCAGAAGCGAAAAGGCGTGAGCCAAAAGGCAAATGGCGTTTGCTTCATGGAGTACAAAGATCGGTCCTAAAAGTTTCCAGAATCTCCCCACTACTGTCCTTGGGTATATGGTCAGCCATGTCGCTGATCTCAACACTTCCCAAGCTGATGAGATTAATTGAAGTCGAAACAGTATAGCAAAAGATGACGTAGGCGTAAGCCATAGAATATGTTTGCTAGTGTTTGCCAAAGGGTATTTTGTTTAAAACACCTTGACCAATGGGTCCCACATACCACTCAGAAATTTAGAGTTTGGTAGGGTTGCCAAGGTCTTGGAATAAACTTTGATCCCAAATAGGCGGTCACTGCAAAATGGAATATTGAAAGACCCAGTTTTGCTATGTCATCTTTTGCTATACTGTTCCGACTTCAATTAGTCTCATCAGCTTGGGAAGTGTTGAGATCAGCGACATGGCTGACCACATACCCAAGGATAGTAGTGGGGAGATCCTTAATTTGTTTACCAATGCAAATGACTTCTATAACTTGGGAATGAACATTGTTAGTTTCCAAAAGTTCCTAACCTTGCTTTGTTGGTTCTTTTAATCATCATTCAGTTAAGAATAGTAAAAGAGAGGGGAAAGGATTCTGAAGCTCTAGAAAATGTACACAAATTATACTTCTCCTCATATGTCACATTTTTTACGGTTTTTTGATGAAAATAAGTTAATAGAATCAGATTTTCACAGCTTAGTTTTGGTATTGGTGTTGCATAGTCAAGTCTTCAAGAAAGTTATTCTTAAAATCTTATTTTCTGTTTTAGACAGATTTATTTTCTTCACTAGTCAATGTTTGAATCTTAGTAACATAACAGTAAAAGTAGACATTTTATCCTCTAAATGTCTGGGTGTTTGGGACCTTTGCAGCGAATATTTCATTGATACCTATACAGTCACTAAAATACCTACAATCTCTAGCAATTCTAGGTATATTTGTGAATATCTTATGTCCTCAGACAATATTCATATGTTTAAAATTATTAAATGTTGCAAATTCCCTTAAACTTTTTCCACTTTCATTGACCAGGTTTTCACTCGAGGTGCCGACCATGTTTCTAATAGGTGTATTTCCCAGTCCGGCATGTATTTTCAGCAAAGATAAAGTAATCTGACTTCCCAATGTTTCTGGAGATTACAAAAAAACTTCTTTCCTTCATCCAGAGCATATACTGAAACCATATTAAAGTGTCCTCTTTTGATGTAAGTCTCCAAACCCTTGTTGGCGTTGAGTGCTTATGTATGTTAAGTGTAATCCTCTGTTAATTTTTATTTGTCAAGTTTCATCACGTCGTAGTCAGTCAGTCAATGCATTTTATCCCCTTGGCCTGGGGCTGAGTGTCTTTAGTAACCGGGGTTCACAGATTGTCACCCGACTATGAATCCACTGTCTCAAATTGCTTAACTTCTGTAACTTCATGGAGCATAATTAAGCAATTCAGCTAGCAACAGTGACACTTAATTCTGCATTTCCATTTCTGATCTAACGGCATTATTACTTCACAATATGCTCTTTGGCTCTGCACTATCCCACATCAAAGACCTTTCAATTTCTTTTCTGTTGTTTCATTTATATGCATTTAAAAAAATGAAAATTTTTGTATAGTTATTCTTTGTGGCTGAAACCTCTCTCAACTCACATGACTAGATTGTGCAAATCTTTAATATTTTATTTTTGTAACTGATCAAAACAATTTTATTTCTCTTGTAGTATGTCTGTTTATTCACATTTTATAGATTATTAATATTTAACATTTAAATAACTTTAGCAATTACCATTTGTATTAATACCATGTATTTATCAAAACTTCAATTTTTTGTTTATTGTATCCATTAATTCAGTGTTAAATTTTGCCTACTCTTGAAGACACAATAGTCTTCGAAATAGTCTTTGTCCTGGATAACTTTGGCGGGTGGGCCCACACTCATTTCGTTATGCTACTGGGGGCAGAATTCTGGATGTAGGAAGTTGTGATAATGGAGTAGGTTGGGGAATGGGACATCGTATGACCACACTTTATTTGACACAATTGAAATCTGTACAGCCCAGATAACTCTACCAGTAATAGCACTAATTCGTTCTTCAAACCACCAGCTGTGCTACACCTCATAGCCCCCTGCATCCAAACAACGTCCCCCTCAATGCTATTATTGGGCAGTGTATTCTGCAGCAGATTACTCAAAAATTTATATTAACATGATTCATATAAAACAAAAGTGATAAAGAGTTGAGAAAATAAAGTCCCCAAAGAAATGATAATACAAAAAAATAAATAGTACATTACCAGTATTTAGGGTATCACAGTGCAGCATAAAATAGAAAAAAAGTACCTACCATTATGGCAATATATACAAAACATCAACCTTATAACAAGACTGGAGATGAACACTATCAAACAGCTATTTCAATACAACATTCAGCCTATTCTAGTGCACGAGAGCGTAAAAATCTGAGAAAAACAAACATTAAGAATCCTGTTCATGTTAAAAAAAGCAAAAGGCACATTCCTCGAAAAAACTTTAGGTGTGGCCATAACAATGTCAAGGCTAGCCTACATCCTAGCTACAAAAACAATGGATTATTTAATTACTCCAGTCCCTCCTACCAGAGACAATAGAAATGAAAAGAAGGAAAGTATGAGAAATATTTAACACACCACAAGCAATAAGAAATCTAAAATGGATGACCGCTCATTAAGAAATGTGTGGGACATCCAATACTATAGGATACATGGTCACAATAGGATGGGTGAGGACACGATTCTCACAACATACGTAAACAAGGCTTCCGGCGACCAGAAAAAAAGTACCTCATCAAATGGTGCTAAGAAAGAAGAAAGTCAACAAACCAGAAAACGACCACAATCCCTGGAATCTGAGAGTGAAATCTTGAACTTAACTTTCAAAGAATATACGCATTTGAGTGTCCTTCAGCTAGCAAGTGTAAGGTGCTGCTGAAAATAATCTACAAGTTCCTACCTTTGCAGCAAAACACACAAATATGTGGAAAAAGTCACACGCATCCACTTAAAGCTTTTTCTGTACTTTCAGTTACACACCAGTTTCAGCACAAATGTTTCTGTTAAAGGAGATTTTTGCTGGAAAAGTTGAAGTAATCCTCTGAAAATGCATTATTGATGAGAGAAATCAAAATGTTTCAGGAAATAAAACAAGAATTGTATAAACCAAGAGCAATGCAGATTGAAAAATAAAAATTTAATACACATTTCATGAACACATCTGATACAAGCATGATAACTTGACAATATTCTCAAAATTAATTCAGTCATCTGATGAAAATACAATTATGTTGAAAGGTGCTGTGTACAATAAATGCAATCTATGTGACATTGCTAGTGAGTTACAAGTAATTTGTAACGAAACTACTCAATGCACTTGTTGGTCTGGCTGGGATTCAAAGCGGTTTCAGGGCAATGCTAACAACAAAGAAACCCAGGTTTGATTCCCAGTTGTAGTGATTGCTCTACAATGTACTTGTCACAATATGCTCCATTAAAAAATGTCTATCAGTTGAAATATGTTTAGGATAAAGGACTAAAGCAAACGTTTAATAACATATTAGGAAAATGCTTTTAATGGCACATATATACAGTGTACAACAGATATCACAGTCATCCGTATGTCTTTGGAGAGCTGTTTATTCTAACAGTTGCAATATAATACAATTTACATCACTACAGCACGCATCAATTCTATCACGCTTTCAGATTTGATGCAGGGTCTACCATAACACTAACATCCGGGCTGGCTTTTCCTTCACTCAAAAGTTTCTTCTGTTCTTCTTCTTGTTTTGCTTTCAACTGCGGCCTTAAAACAGTAAAGTATCTATACATTTTGTCACCAATCATAAAACTACCGTACAGTGTCAGGGCTAAGCAGCTGATGACGACACCCTTATGTAGTCTGTCAAATAGCAAGTTTCGAGTAGCACGTCGTTTAAACATATTTCTCTTATAAATCCGATCAACTTCAAAAGGAATCAGAAGCAAGGAGACAATATTTCTCCTGTCAAACTACAAGTGATTTTCAGAAGTAGACAACAACCATAACCTCAATTCTATCGGATTCCATACAAGACTTCCAATGCTTAAAATCGGACAGAACTTCAGCGATATATCGAAAGCATTGTGGTTCATCCATAACAAGACAAAGAGAATGCAGGAGAAGTCCGTGACCAAGGCAAAGACATCAGTCTGTTCAGTAGTTTAGTTTATGTTATTTCATGTGTTAATACATTTGTTTACTTGACCTCGTAATAATTGATTCTGTAAAATGTTTCAATAAAGCAATCAACATAGATTTTTCAAAAAAGTTTCTTGTTTCGTATGTGTTAGTTACTCTCTGGAGAAAAAAAGTCAAATTCATGTGTTGCTATACAAGTGCCTACCCTGCAAAAATGTTACCAACTTAAAAATGGGATGACATGCTACCATTTCAAACGTATAGAACGTCCATGACATGGCTTGTCATGAGTCCGTGGGTGTACGTTGGCTGCGGTGCCCGCTTTTATTGAAAGCCTTTAAGGTAGTTGGCGCTATGTGCTCTGTACAATTAGTTTTGAATAATGAGAGCATCTGCATTGTAACATGAGTTGGATGAATGTAATGCGAGATTGAACAACATATCAGACTGTCTTGTTGATGAAGGAAGGTTACGGACTTTCAATTAAAATCATTTGATTGACGTGTTTGTTGATCATAAACAGCGCATCTGTGATTTGGATGATAGTGTAATATTCATTTTTTTCTGTTTATATGTTTGTGACAAGTGTTTCCGTCAAAATATACTTTGGAATGAAAATTAGTTGTAATTGACATTCAAGCCAGAAGTTGATGATTTCATTTTAGCATCATGGCTACTATCAATTGTGTTACTGTGCTTACACCAAATGGTAGAAGACCATCTGTTAAAGTAACTCCAAATACAACCATTTTACAAATTCTAGAAGAAGTGTGTTTAAAACATGACTTTGACCCTTTGGAATATGATCTTAGACACCACAGCAGAATTTTAGATACCACAATGACTGTGCAGTTTTCTCGGTTGCCTAATAATGCACAATTGGAAATGGTAAAAGCAAAAAAGATTCGGAGAGAATCAGAAGTTCTTGTAAACATCCAAACTGAATCTGGTGATAGACTGTCAGGTACATTTCTTCCATCTGAATCTCTTTGGGATGTTGTACTAAAACTATGTCCAGATTCATGTGTAGCAAGTAAGCAACCTGCAATATTGTATATGAGGCAAGAAATTTGTGGAATGGAAAACTTGAAAGTGACAACTCTTCGTAGTTTAGGTTTAACAAGTGGTAGGGCTTTGCTGCGATTGATGTGTAAAACAGTAGAAGGAGAGCTTCCAGAACAACAAAATATGACAAGTAAACTTTCTAACTATCCTCCTGGCAACCAAATAGTAACAGTTCATGCTGTTTCTGGAGACTCCCAGAATCCTGATAAAATTGAAAAGCCAGTTCATAAGAAACAGGATTTAAAACAAGAGATTCTGAAAGAATCTCCAAATACCAAAATAAGCAAATTAAGTTCAGTTGATAAAACTACAGAAAATCAACAAGTGAAAAGTAAGGAACCACTTGCAGGAGTTTCAGGAAAAAAAGATTCAAGTCCTGGGGAACCTAGTAAATCCAACAGAGCCCAAAATACTCCTCCAGAAAATCAATCTCCCATTAGTGAGAAACAGCATCAGCATGTAGGAATCAGTGATTTACCTGCACATGGTGGTGTGAAAAAGAAACAAATTCAATCTTCAGTCGTAGAAAACAAGGAAGATGTGTCTCTTGAAGATATTTTTAAAGCAGAAATTGAGCCTCGTGATAGGAATCCAGTTATCTTCAAACCTGGAATGCGCCAGCCTACGAGTGAAGATTTGCCAGATGAATTTTTTGAATTGACACTTAATGATGTTCAAAATCTCTACCGAGAATTAAGAAGCAAACGTACAGAACTTGATGAATCTCCATTGCAGACTTCTGCTATAAGAAAACTAGAAGAATCTAAGAGAATACTTGGTAATTTACACAAATATAAAAGAGCAGTTTTGCGGATTCAATTTCCTAATCAAGTTATTGTACAAGGATCATTCTCACCAGTAGAAACAATAGCAAGTGTTCAGGAATTTGTTAAAGGTTATTTGCAAGATTCATCAATATCATTTTATTTGTACACAACACCTCCAAAAGAAATTTTAAAACCATCATCTCGATTAATAGAAGTAAATTGTGTTCCCTGCGCTCTTCTACATTTTGGTTTGCCTAGTGGACTTCAAGAAAATGTAAATTACTTGAAAGATGAAGTCATGCAAGAATTAGCTTCTCCAGAAGCAGCTGCAGCTGCGGTGACACGCTCACGCAGTCTCCTGACAACCTCAATTGACAAGCGATCCTTGCCTTCAACTAGCGGGACACAGCAGTTACTTTCTTCTGTGAGTGTAGAGGAAGCTCCAAAAGATATTGACAATCAAGAGCCATGTAGTAGTAAAACTGATACCAAGCATGCGGGAAATCCAAATGGTAAAGTGCCAAAGTGGTTTAAAATGGGTCCCAAATAATGAGCATCATCTGAAGATAGACTATAAATCCTTGCAATTTTCGTACTTTTTGACTGGTTGCAATACTACGTTTTGTGTCATTTTTTTGAACCATTAAAATTTCTCTTCACATATTCGATTTATTCTTGGAATCTATCACGTACCTTTTATTGATTGTAAAAAAAATATCTCAATTCTTGTCTTCAATTGCTTTATTGTTCATGTAACTTTGCAAAAATGGTTAACCGTTATTGTTTTCTTTCAAAAAAGACTTATTTTCTTTGTTGTGTAATTTGATTATTTTTTAAAGAATAGATATTTCCCATGTATTCTGTAAATTAATGTAAGTATATCAAGTTATTGTGGCATTTCTCATAATTGTGATCAATAAGGGTAATGAAAAGTAGGGTTGTAGAAATGAGATATACCTACTTTTTCAGTGTAAGAGATACATTGAACTTACATCAATTTGTGAAAATAAAAATAAATGATTTATTTCCTTTAAGCAGCATTTACGTGTTAAAATATTCCTGCACAATCCCAATTTTTGTACAATAAACATTTGCCCTGTAATCTGTCATGACTGAAAATGGCATAATGCAAGTTGTGTAACAATGCTTACAATGTGAAAGGTTTGACTGTGTTCTGCAAGATGATAATTTGTAGCTGTTCTCTTTTAATTTAATTTCTAGGGCAAGTTTGTTTTCCAACTTCCCTACAATTTCCATTCCTTATTGTTCTTAAATTCTAATAATATTCTCAATCCACTGTACATTATTTTTTATTGTAATGGTCAATGGTGTTTGTCAGGAAATTTGTCTACAGCTTTTTTTATTTCAAGAATAATGTAAATATTTTAGTATGTACATGCATCTGCATAAAAACAGATAAATATTCATAATGCTATGAAAGATAATAGAGGTAAATATCAAATGTTAATTTTATTTATTAAATATCCAATTTCAATAATAGAAGTAAGTCAATCTTACATTTAACCAGATTTGTTGTATGAACTAAAAAGCCACAGAAAAAGGAAAGGAATGTACCAATTAATTATTCCTGCCAATTTCTGTAATTGCTCAAACGATCAAAAATGCATTTGCTTGCTAGCACAAAGATATGTCAAGAAAGTGTGACGAACTCAATTGATTTCTATTCTTTGTCTTAATTTTCTGAAGATAGGTCTAATTTCATTTTACGATAATTGTCAGTCAGCTGTTCTGTTAAACAGCCGTGGTGGTGCACTCTCGCGCCAAATTCGAAGTACTGGACGGTTTTATTCAATTATTAGTATTATAATACCACTAAACTAAAAAGCTCGACTGCGTTTTCAATCATTTTCACTTGAATCAGAACACTCGACTACGTGGCGGGGACAAATATTTCTCCCTCGTGGGAAAGATCTTAAAAAGATTTTTCGGATGACATTTCATTTGCTACCAAATATGTAAAGGAAAGCGAGAAAGTTATACAAAAAATGAAGAATTTATAAGAATGATCAAACTCTCATTTTTATGAGAGATCCTTTTCAAATAATAATTCAGTTACTTCGTCTGTGAGGTTATACAATATTAGATGTATTTACAATGTAAAACACTTATTCCAGGAGTACCTGAAGTTCTGGAGCACCCACGAAAGGTTCCATAAGTATTTTTTTAAACCAACTTGGCATTCCGATGTTGTAATTTACGTATTTTTGATAATCATAATCCAGATGCTCCGTCTGAGGTAATACAATATTGGATCTCGACAACGTTGATATTCGTTCCATTACTGCCTAAAGAGATGGAGCGTTAAGCACCCACAAAACGTCGATATTAAAACAAAAACAAATTAGCATCCTCTTGACGTAATTGACTTGCTTATAATCATTGTACTTCAGTTGCTCTGGTTGTGATGTTATACTGTAATACTGAATCTGTTTACTAGGTTGATATTCATTCCAGTACCTGAAGAGGTTGAAAGCTCTATTCCCATGTAACGTCGAAATATTATTTTAAGCTACTTAGGTGTCTTATAATTGATTAGTCTTTTGTGATCCTAAATTTAAGTTCTATATTTGGGTATTGATTTCTTGGCGCGTTAGTGCCTATCTTCACGATGGAATATCTCACAGCATTTCGCATCTTTCTCATTCGAAGATGTCGCATGATTGCCAGTACTGCTCGATGCAGTTGCGATCATGCGACATCTACCGGTCCGACCGAGAAAGACGCGAAATGCCGTGAGATATTCCATCGTGAAGAAAGGCCCTCACGCGCTAAGAAATAAAAATCCAAGTATATTATTAATTACTACTATTATTATTGCGTAACATGCAAGAATGTTCAATCACCTTCTTCCCATTGTAGAAAATTCTCGGATATTCTCTCTCCTATTTCAGCGGCGTCTTTTCAAAGCAACTAGAGGATGAGAGTCATCTAAAATTACCAACTTCAATGGAGTATTCAAATGTTCAAATTTTTGTTTTATTTATAACAAATACAGGCGTCTTAGAACAACTGTTACAAACTTCTAGGGCATGATTGGTATATTTCATATTAAGGAGTTACATTGTTGTCTTTACCCCCTAAATGTTAGACAAATCCGTATTCACAAATGATCGCAGGTACATGAAATCTCCTTGACGGCGTCAGAACGTGACCTGCATAACATCTGTGTGTATGGGTTTGCCTAGTAATCGGGAAGAAATGTAACATGCGTAACTCCGTTAAATGAAATTTCCCACTATTCAGAGGGTCCCACTCTGTATACTCTCTGGTCCCACCAACTATAACCGCCATAACGGTTCACGATATTAAAGTGCAGTTTTTGCTGAACAAAGCGGAATTATGAGGCAAGTAATATGATGTAGAAATATTGTTCGTAATATTTTTCGTTTTCGATAAATTTAATCATCTATAATTTTTTGAATGGAACTATATATTTTCGTAATAATTTATATAATTATATTATTGACAAAAATTTATATAATTCTCTATTTTTTTAATATAAAATTATACATATTTCTGAAAATGTAATCGAAATGTGTATTTACTTAGATCTGAACATATTTGATATAGTGGAATATTATCCCTCTATCCACATTAACTTATAATTGAATGATATAATAATCTTATAATATCTTAAACGTTTTTGTAAAAGGACACGTGTGTCAGACCATTGCTGGACAATGCATTCAAGTATATACTAACTTCTTTTTTTTTAATAGTCAACGTTCGAATTCAAAAAAATCGCTTAGTTCCGTAATTACAAAGAATGCCTTTATTGTTATGGAGTTTGTACGTATCTATTCTTTCATTCGTTTTGGAGAATAGGAGCGATATGAAACCATATTTTTGGGATTTTCGATTTTCCGTACAGTAGTAACTTTTCTATAGTTCTTCCTTTCGTGAGACTTAATCACAGGGGTTCATATGAAGTTAGTACTTATGAAAAAAACTTTTTTTTCTTTAAGGATAAAATAAATACCTGGGAGCTCAGTGCCCTGGTAACTAATTTGTAATATTTTTTCACACCAGTAAAGGCCTCATTGATTTTATAAATGTTTTAAAAAATATTTTTACTTGACTCCTTACTACAACTTTACAATCTGATCAATTTGAAACAATTAGCAAATGGTACTAAAAATCACAGAAATAAATAACAATTCGTCTTTTTGAATGTTAAGTAAGTCTAAAACGTGTTTTCTCTTAAGTCTGTAACATGGAGAAATATAATATATTCGTTCATGGTCTATATAAAGTCGACTATTGTACAGAAAGTTAATTTATAATTGATCAGTAGGCTGCAAAACTCTCTGCAATTGCATATTTGTACTGACTGCGCATATCGAAGGAAATGTACACAGAATGTGCCACCATCATAACTATCAAAGGATTAACGATATGTAAGTGCAGTTTTCGCTTAACAATGTGGAGTCATAGGGCAAGTAATAAGCCTGAAAGATTTTTCGTTTTGAGAAATTTAATCATCTTCTATTTTTAAATGGGACCATATATTTTTCTTCTCAGCAACGATTAGATCATAAAAAGAGGAGGAAAAAGATGTATTGTATGTCAGTATTTTGATAGTGATTTGAGTATAAAATCTGAATTTTTGACACGCGATTTTAAAATAAATGAACATTATTATCCTAGCAGTCCTTGTAACTGTTGCCTGCGAGGAAGGTGGCCTTCGTGGCGCCGAGACCGTTACGGGGAGTCTGTTACGACTAATGTAAAATCACGTGTCAGAATGTCTAATTTTATACTCAAACTAGCAAAATTTCCGGCGTTGCTTGGACTTTTCCATATTTAATCCGTCTCTCTTTCTCTGTCTCTCTCTATGTCCCTCTCTACGCCTCTCCGTCTCTCTCTCCGTCTCTCTCTCCGCCTCTCTCTCTCCGAGCGGAGAGAGAGAGGCGGAGAGGAGAGGCCGGCGAGAGAGAGGCGAGAGAGTGGAGAGAGAGAGGCGTCGAGAGAGAGAGAGAAGGCGGAGAGAGAGAGGCGGAGAGAGAGATGGCGGAGAGAGAGAGGCGGAGAGAGAGAGGCGGAGAGGAGAGAGTGCGGAGAGAGAGAGGCGGAGAGAGAGAGGCGGGAGAGAGAGAGGCGGAGAGAGAGGAGGCGGAGAGAGAAGAGGCCGGGAGAGAGAGAGGCGATGAGAGAGAGGCGGAGAGAGAGGAGGCGGAGAGAGAGAGGCTGGGAGAGAGAGAGGCGGAGAGAGAGAGGCGGAGAGAGAAGAGGCGGAGAGAGGAGAGGCGGAGAGCAGAGGCGGAGAGAGAGAGGCGGAGAGAGTAGAGGCGAGAGAGAGAGGCGGTAGAGAGACAGAGGCGGAAGAGAGAGAGGCCGAGAGAGTGAGGAGGCGGAGAGAGAGAGGCGGAGAGAGAGAGGCGGAGAGAGAGGCGGAGAGAGAGAGGCGGAGAGAGAGGCGAAGAGAGATGTA